AGAGAGAGAGAGAGAGAGAGAGAGAGAGAGAGAGAGAGAGAGAGAGAGAGATGATCTTATCATGCTGTATTTTTGCATTAATCTATTCAGAAATCTATTAAAAGTTTCCTATATATATATTATGTCGTATACATACATTCCTCTTGTGCCCCCCACCCCCACCCCCTTTCTTTTCAGGTGCCAAATTCCGCAAGTATGTGGGCCACAGTGCTCATGTGACTAACGTCCGTTTTTCCAGCGACCACCATAAGGTCATATCCACGGGAGGGGAAGATCACTCTGTGTTCCAGTGGCGGTTCCTACCACAGGGAACTGGAGATGACGATCTGCCAGACCACCACAATGGTGAGCCTGTCATTTACTCCGGTTTGTTAGCAAAGATAAAGAATTAATTACATGAGTTATGGTGGGAGATCATGAATTATCCAATGTGTTTCAAGTCTATTCCTTGCTTACAGAAGGTTGAAAGGCGAATATAGTGGGCTGAGTAATTTATGCAAATTGTGCTTATATTTCATGTGTGAGATATCAGCTTATATGAAATATGGGGATTTATTTTACCGAAAGTGCAATGCTAAAACAACTCCGTGTATGGTATATAACATAGATAGCTTAGTTCTGATAATACTGATAGCACAGACAGCTCACAAGCTCACAAAAATCACAGATATTGCACAGACGACACAGATGGCTCATCAAACACAAATAGCACTGATAATTCATGGATAACACAGATAGTATGTGTCATGTAGGACAGATAGTTTTATAACACGAATTGCATGGACAGCACACTCAGCGTGGATTGCCCACATAGCATGGGTAGCACACATCAAATGGATTAAACACATCATGTGGATAGCACATATAGCATGGATAATACACATAGTGTGGATAGTACACCTAGCACATGTAGAATGGATAGTTCACATATCACATGTAGAATGGATAGTACACACAGCACACATAGAATGGATAGTACACATAGCACACATACGGTGGATAGTACACATAGAATGGATAGTACACATAGCACACATAGAATTGATAGTACACATAGCACACATAGAATTGATAGTACACATAGCACACATACCGTGGATAGTACACATAGCACATGTAGAATGGATAGTACACATAGCACACATATAATGGAAAGCACACATAGCACACATAGAATGAATAGTAATACACATAGCACACATAGAATGGATAGTGCACATAGCACACATAGAATGGATAGTATACACAGCACATGTAGAATGGATAGTGCACATAACACATGTAGAATGGATAGTACACATAGCACACATAGAATGGATAGTACACATATCACATGTAGAATGGATAGTACACATAGCACACGTAGCTTGTATGGTACACAGCACACAAATCATGGATAGCCTACATAGCATAAGTAGCACACATAGCATGGATAGCAGGCATAGCAGGGACAGCTTAATGCAGCTGCACAAAAATGAACTTTACTTAAGGCCCTTTTCATCTTCATGGGTGGAGGAAACTTCTGAGAGCTGTCACATTTTGATGATTGTGAGGAATTTTAGTTTGAAACTTTGGAAGCTCATGTCTTTCAAAGTATATAGATAATTTTCTCCCTTCATTTTCATATGTTTCCTGTTGTTTTTTCTCTGTAAATTACTGTGTTATGTTAAACCAAAGTGTCATGAAGACTTCATGAGGTATAGTTCACTATAATAAAAAAAATGTAACTGCCATTCTTTCCCCAAAGTCTTCCAATCTCTTCAACCTTCTTCCTTCTCTCCCCTATCGTTTTACTATCTTTTCAGCCATCCTTTCTATCTACTCTGCAGTCTTCTTATTTTTCAACCATATTCTTTCTCTCCCATGTAGTCCCCTTATCTTTTCAATCAACTTCTTTCTTTCCCCCTTGCGCGACCAAGGGGTATGTGGAATCTAACAATGACTAAGCTGTTCAAGACCATAAAAACAAATAAATAATCTTTTGCACCCACTTCTTTCTCTCCCATTTGCCTCAATGCAGCATACGTGGACTCTAACAGTGAAGACAGTGACTCTGACCTGAGTGATGTGGGCGTGGTGGACTCAGACCTGGAGCAGGAGAAGCAAGTGGGTTACGACAGAGCACTCTACAAGGACGACCTGGCTGGCCAGAAGAAGCTGCTTAAGTCCAGCATGCAGCCGGGAGCCAAGAGGAAGAACGGGCCTACTGACAGCCTCAGATTAGAATATGTGCATGGGTGAGGCAAAGGCTTCTCTTCTTTTTCTTCTTTCTTCTTGTACTTCTTTCCTTTTCGTCTTCTTCTTTTATTTCTTGGTCTTTTCTTTCATGTTCTTGTTTATGTTCATCTTGTTCTTGTCTTCCTCTTCTTCCTACTCCTGCCATGACTTGGGATATGATTTCAATAGTTTTGATGAAGGATACTGTCTTGTGCTGTACCTCTCTTTGCTCCAGAGTTTGTTGTCTCAACCTGTGTATTGACTCAGTTTTTGTCTCACAGCACAGAAAAATTATAAACCTACAGGCACTGAGCTTCCTGACCTGGCCATGATCAAGGATCACCTTTTCTGGTCAATTTATTAAAACCTGGATAGGTTTTTTGCCTCTACTGACCTCTGTCAGTCTCTTTGAAAATTAATTTGCATTGGTAAGGGCAGAATGTGACCTATAACCCTGGATGCGTCTCCAGTGCTTTTTGTTGACCTCACAGCAAAATCTTAGAAGTAACCAGGAGTCTTTTTTCTAATTTAAAAAAAAATCATGTTATGGCATCAATTATACTGCATTTTCATAGAATTGTTTAAGATGAGATTTTCCCACACTTATAAGATTTTGAAAAGTTCACACAGTTACTTCATCAGTACAAGAGTATGACACCATCAGTACATGGTTTATGACAGTCTGTTCTTGTATTCATGGGATTACTTTTTAATCTCTGATTTTGCCTGCAGATACCGTGGCTATGACTGCCGTAACAACGTGTTCTACACACAGACAGGGGAGGTGGTCTACCATGTAGCGGCTACATGTGTTGTGCATAACAAGGAGAAGAACGCTCAGAGGTTCTACACGGAACACACTGATGACATTCTCTGCCTGTGTATACATCCACTCAAAGATATTATTGCCACAGGACAGGTGAGTTCAAAATTCAGAGCTGTTTATCGCTGAATCAGGAAAATGACCTAACTAAGATGCAACAAGATTTTCTATACGGCTGCAGATAGTAAGCTTTTCAGTATGTCTTCAGAGCCACATCTGTTGATTTGCACACACAAGCAACTACTCTACATGTGATGGTCGTGACAGTGTTTTTGAATCAATACCATCACTCATCTTCCAATATAAAAATAGTAATACAAGCTTTAATCGTTGATATTTCTCATCTCTTCTCCCTTCCCTTGAAATAGTGATTGGCCTATTAAATCATGAATACTACTTTCAATTACTGATACAGTGATACTCACTTTCTTATAGTTGGCTTGAACCTAAGTGAACTAAAATTTTGTTTTGATTAAACAAATTTTGTTATGTATTATGCTACCTTGGGGTGGGTGGTTAGTGGATGCTCTGGTGTGGTTTGCTCCTTCTTTCCTATCAGACATCTTTCGTCCTTGTCTCTCCTCCTTCTTTTCTTTATCTGTTACGCTCTAATCTTTGGCACTTATATGATCTCTTTGTGTTGCAAGTGCCTTAAAACTCTCACTAAAATTAAAATGTAAAGCTAATTTCCCTGCCCCTTTTCTCACCCCTGTGGATCTCAAAAATGTAACCTTCCCCTCTAAGAAAGTGTCAGATGGTTATAGTGCTTTTGTTCCTTTCTCCTCCCAGGTGGGCAGAGACCCAAGCATCCACATCTGGGACACGGAGAGCCTCAAGACTGGCTCTGTGCTCAAAGGACAACATCAGCGTGGAGTCTGTGCTGTTGACTTCTCAGGTTAGCCTAACTGATGTGTTTTCATACTTCTAAAGTCTTCGATATTTTCATGTGCACAGCTCCTCCTTTACTTTCCAGACTGCAATGCAGATGGAAGATGGAGATTGGGGGGATTTGGAGAAAGGAGGAAAGGGAGGGGGCGGGGAAAGGGGTGCATAGACTTCTTGTGTGGAAGATTTAGAATTTGTAGAATTTCTTGGAAATGAAAAAAAATATTAGTTACAAATTATTTAAAAACATTATCCCATTGAAAATTTTTTTCTTTGTGAGATGCACTGTCACATCGGTAATAGTAGTAAACAGTTCACTAGTACAGTATGTCTGCTGTCTTTTTAAAAAATCTGTGCTGAATGGTTGACGGCTGCTCTGGTGTGGTTTGCTCCTTCTTTCCTATCAAACGTCAATTGTCCTTACCTCTTCCTATTCTTTTCTTCGTATGTCTCTCCAGTAACATCTCTAATCTTCGGCATTCATATGACCAATTTTTGTTGCGAGTGCAATTAAACTAAGCTAATAATCCCTGGATTTGATTCATATGAGAATTGGTGATAATTTATCATTGCTTTACTGGCCGTACTTGAAAAATGTGAAGTTTATGGTTTTTTTATCTTTTGACAGTCGATGGCAAGAAGTTGGCTTCAGTTGGTCTTGATGACAATCACTCCATTGTTGTGTGGGACTGGAAGAAAGGAGAGAAGCTGGCCACGACGAGGTGAGATGTTAACCTCTGTGGCTGAAGTGCCAGATCCCATATATGGCATTATTGATGGTTATGGTCTTCCTCCTCTTTCTTTATTAGCCTAACTTTCACAAGGGACACATTGTCATGTTTGTTTCCCGCTACCAAATAATTAACAATTTAATGTATTAAGTATGGATGTGTTATTTTTTTTGGTCTTCCCTTGTTTCCCTTTCCTTCTAGTTTTCCTGTTAAGGCCAGAGCTTAATGTGTCTGTCTTTGATTCTTTGTATGGTGCAGAGGTCACAAGGATAAGATTTTTGTGATCAAGTGGAACCCCCTGGACCATAGCAAGCTGGTGACTGTTGGGGTGAAGCACATCAAGTTCTGGACACAGACAGGTGGGCTATCTCATTGATTCTTTTCTGGGGTTTTTTGTTGCTCTATTTGCCCTCTATAGAAGATTTTTGAAATTGTGTATATTGTTACTCAGTTTGACATTTTGTTGTTTTCTAAAATCATATAATTTGAAAAAATTATTTGTATTAGTCTGCAAAATACAAATTAGTATTTAACTTTTAGTTATTGAAACCACTTGTGGCTTTCTGTTGCTTTTTATCAATTCATAAAAATTTATCTTTCTGTCTTTCTCTTTTAAGCTCTGATATTGGTTGAGCAGCTTGTCTTCCTGTCAATGTTAAATGTTTTTTTTATATATGTTGTGCTTTGCCTTTAATAATAAGAGGTAGTAATTCGAGGTAGTAACTTGTGACTGCCAATGGGATTGACAAAGCATTGTAACATAGCTGCTCTTTGAAAAGTTTTTTTTGTTCATACCTATCTTTTTGTTACGTGCAGGTGGTGGGTTCACATCAAACCGTGGCACCATGGGTAAAGTGGCCAAACTTTGTGACATGATGTGCGTTGCATATGGGAAAACGTCTGACATCTGCTTCTCTGGTGGCAGTGACGGTCATGTGTTTGTGTGGCAGGGCGTGGAGCTACAGAAGACTGTCAAGGCTCATGAGGGTCCAGTGTTTGCCATGCATTCCCTAGACAAGGTAAGGACTTACAGAATATTGAGGTGGTACTGTTATTCAAGTTCAGGCTTTGTAAGAGAAATAGGTTTTTTGACTTACTTCTTGAAGTTTCACCCCTCACTCCCCCCCCCCCCCCCCCATTAAAAAAAAAGAAAAAAGAAAAAGAAATTGATCTCCCGATTTGTGTTCTGGGGTGCTTTTAATGCTTTTTAGTTTATCAGTATTAGGAAACATAGAAAATAAAGTTAAAATGAGACCATATCTCACCCTTGACTTCCTCACCTTGTGGGAGCTGTTTGCTGATTTAGTATCATGAGCCTCCCAAAGCACTCAAAAGTATTAGTTTTTCACATTCCCATCTTTGTCTCACAAATTTGTTTCTACAACAGGGTTTTGTGACTGGTGGCAAAGACGGCATTGTGGGTCTGTGGGATGACCAGTTTGAGCGCTGCCTCAAAACGTACGCCATCAAGCGAGCTGCGCTGACACAGGGCTCCAGCGGCGTGCTGGTGCAAGACACGCCTGCTGTAAGGGCCATCGTCCTGGGTCATGGCAAGATCCTAGTGGGCACAAGATGTGGGGAGATTTTGGAGATTGACAAGGCTGGACCTATGACACTGCTAAGCCAGGTACTGCAATAAATGTTCTGTTCTTCTAGATGTCAGCATTTCATTTTAAAAAGCTCTTTTGGCCTCAGATGGGAATGTTTTGGTTTACCGTGTGTGTTGATGTTGGTGATTTTCATGTACATCTTGAGAATACATTTTCAAACTAGTAAGTGACCACAACTTAGACCCTAATTCATAGCGGCTACTTGTCTATAAAGATAATTTTTGTCTGTGATCTTGAGTAACTGTCATGAACAGGTGTAGCTGTAGTGGATTTGGATGAGCACTTGATATTTATTTACCGTGAATTAGATGCTCAATGCATGCACGCATGTGGCATCGTAGGACTACATGAAGAGGGAGGTGTGTCAATGCTCAATGTATGTATGTATGTGTGTGTGTGCTATCACAAGGCCATATGGAAGGGAGGTGTGTCAGTGCTTGTATGTATGTGCTATCACAAGGCCATATGGAGAGAGAGAGATGTGTTATTGCTCAATGCATGTATGTGTGTGCTATCACAAGGCCATATAGAAGGGAGGTGTGTCAGTGCTTGTATGTGTGTGTTACTACAAGGCCGTATGGAAGGGAGGTGTGTCAGTGCTTGTATGTGTGTGTTACTACAAGACCGTATGAAAGGGAGGTGTCTCGATGCTTGTATGTGTGTGCTGCCACCGGACCATATGGCGGGAAAGGAAAGTAAATGCTCAACGGGTATATGGGTGTGTACAGAGGGAGAAATGTGTCAATGCTCAGTGCATATGTGAGGCATCGTGGTGAAATCAGGCGTTCGTCAAAATAATGAAATGAAAGAAATCTGCCTTTTTTTGACCGATGAGCAATTTTTTTCTAATTTTAATTTTTTTGCTCAATACCTTTTATGTTCATTTAAAAGCCCATTTTTGTGTGGATTTTTCTGAAAAACATTGGTTAAAGGCACAAAAAATGTTATTTTTCAGTTTCCAAGGACTCTCAGGCTATGGGAGTTACCAAACTTTGGCGACCATTTTCTGGCTAATTTTACCTCTGAAACCAGACGGTCCTTCAATCACAAATTGACTTCTATTCAAGATAGACGAATATTTTTTTTCATCAAAAGGAAGGCAAATGAACAGGCTTTAAGATGATACCAATAACTCCATATGCACAAAAATTGACAAGCGCCTGGTTCCACCACGTTGTGACACCTATATTATGTGTGCACTACCACAGGACCGTGTGGAGGGAAAAGTGTGTCAATGCTCAATGCCTATATGTGTATGCAACCACAGGGTCATATGGAGGGAGAGGTCTCAATGTTCAGTGTGTATATGTGTGTGTGCTATAACATGGACATATAGAAAGCAGATGTGTTAATGCTCAATGCGTGTATGTGTGTATTACCACTGAACCGTATAGAAGGGAGATGTATCCATGCTCAGTGCGTATATGTGTGCGTGCTACCACAGGGCCATATAGAAAGGAGATGTGTCAATTCTCAATGCGTGTATGTGTGTATTACCACTGGACCGTATAGAAGGGAGATGTATCCATGCTCACTGTGTATATGTGTGTGCTACCACAGGGCCACATGGAGGGAGAGGTGTGGGGCCTGGATGTTCACCCCAGCAAATCAATGTTTGCCACTGTCAGTGACGACAAGACCCTACGCCTGTGGGACTACAGTGAGGGAAACAAGATGGTCAGCTTCAAGGAGCTGAAACAGGCAGCTCGCTGTGTGGCTTTCTCGCCCGATGGACGTGCTCTGGCTGTTGGTCAGAAGGATGGTAAGTCAAACCTGATGTTTGTTTGTCTAAGAGTGGAGGTGACTGTAGAAGTAAAATAGAAATTGAAAGTTATTATTTTATGTGATGTGATATATACCCCCATTGACACAATTAGATAATTTAGGAGGCGTGCTGCTTAGACCTTGCCTAACAGGACCAACCTCCCCGACAAACATACTTGATTTTAAATAAAAAGTTCCCCACTAGATAACTGAACTCATGTCTTTTTGAACACAACAGTGAAGAGCTTAACCATTACACCTCACGTGCTGATGTGACAACTTAAGTGATGTGCTAAGGACGTATGTTTCACAATAGCACCCACTTTACAAGCGTAAGATGGGACAAAAAGATTGATATTAAACTTTATCATGCAGTTCAGGGCCCTTTTTGAGCTTGAATGTGTGTGTCTTTCTAAAGAGTACTCCAAAATGTTTTTAGTGGACCTATGTTCACTAATCTCTGACTACCATTTTCCTTTTGCCCCCCCCCCCCCCACCCCCTTATGTATTATTATTGTAGAGCATGACAGAAGAACTATTTTGAGTTTGTAAATAGATTTGTAATTTGTTTTCTTGTCCACAGGCAGTTTTGTAGTGATTAATGCAGAGACCAATGAGGAAATGTTCACTCAGCACCACAGGAAGGAGGAAATCTGTGACATTCGATTCTCTCCAGGTAAAATATTGAGACTTTTGAGAAAGTGGCTGTCAAAATTATGAGACCATTTTTGTACCCTATCCTACTTAACCCAGCCTTAACCCAGCCTAAACAGGCTGTAACCCAGCCTAAACAGGCTGGAAAAAAAAAGAAGTAAATCTTGATTGTGAAAGTGCTGAATCAAGTCAAAACAATCAGAATCTACTTTTTCTTCTAGCCTAGATACTTCAATTCTTAGATGAATTTTTGCAAAGTTGCCATTTTCTTGTAACATTGCATGACATATAGGAGATATGTGACCAACGAGTGTAATATATTTCGGAATATACGAAGGATGTAGTCTCAGACTCACTGGTCCTGACGTAGTCTTTAAGTTGGCCTATGTCTGCCAGGGCCACATGAGTCACAGTGTATTATTTACTTGGAGTTTAAAAGAAAGTAAAATTGCTTTGGGAGCTGTTATTAGTGAATGGAGAACGTGAAAACAGTTTAAATTGTGGAAACTTCAATTCTTTTGCTGTTTTGAAGAATTCATTTTAGCTATTGCCCTTGTCAAGTGGTTCCAAAGTTTTCTTACATTTGACCCTTTTTGCAGACCCCGGCAAGTATCTGGCAGTTGCCTCCCACGATAATTTTGTGGACATTTACAGCGTTCTCAAAAGCAAAAAAGTTGGAACCTGTAAGGGAGCCTCAAGCTACATCACTCACATTGACTGGGATCTGAAAGGTTCGTGGACCCCTCAGTTATCTACTTTTGATGTGATTTTCTTGTGTGTGTATATATAGTGGTCCCTATTGGTTGAGACCAACATGTCATCTGTGCAGTTCTGTAAACGCCTAAGTTTTAGAAATATTTTCAAGCTTCCATTTCTGCCCTATTTGTCTCAGAAAGTGTCACTCCATGGCGAACATGAAGGTTACAGATCTTTTACCCTTATAGATAGAATTATTATTTTAGTCATGTGATTTGATTGGTTAAAATAATAATAATAATAATAATAATAATGTTGATAATTTCTATAGCGCCCACTACAGTGTGAACACAGCTGTAGGCATTTTACATAAATGCATGAACGAACAATATTCACACACGCACACACACACACACACACGCACATGCACGCTCACACACACACATACACACACACGCACACATGTGCACACACACACACACCCGCACACACACAAACACATATACACGCACATTTACTTGCTTATCACTCGCGCACGCTTACACATCGTTACAAAATGAGCACATACAAATACATAATAAAATACTATACACTTTGCACTTCTCAAAATACATAAATCAATACATAGTCAATTACATAACATTGTACTGAACATGAATCTACTGTGTCTTTAAAGATATTTTAAATTTAGACTCTGATGTTGTATATATCTCAAGGGTTGGGGAAGAGAGTTACAAACTGATTGAACAAGGTGGGCAAATGATTTTTCAGCTAATTTTTTCCTCTTTTTCTAGGAACTCTTAAAAGATACGGATCGCCCAATCTTAGTGATCTAGATGGAACATAAATCTGGGTGTAAAATGCAGAGCGTCTAAATGAAGCAAAAATTGATAGGATTTTTTTTTCACATGAAAAGATTTTTTTATGGACATTTAGAGAATAACACTAGTGATTTTGGTACATAAAGTGGTTTAAAAAATTATGGTGAATAATAATTGTACAAGTGGAAAAATCATTTGGCAGAATTGAGTAATGTTGTAGAGGGATTTTTAGTTGGGAAGGTGCTGCATTGAAGATACAACAGTAATTCATGTTCTGTGCTTTCACATTGAAACTGTGAAAGGAATTGGAGGAAATGTTAGTGATTTCATTGCATATGGGCTATTACTGGCTGGTCATACTTCTATCTTATTCCAGTGTAATTTTTTCTCTTTTGTTTCATTTTTTCCCATATTTTTTTAATATTGGGATTTCTTGGGCATATCAACAAATCATGTGTCCAAACTAGGTAAATGCAATAGATCCAACTACTCATTTGTGGTCAAACCATTTCCTTTTCAAATAAAAATGTTTGAGTGCTATATATTACTTAAAATGTTAGGAAAAGTTGCTTGTAAAGGACACAAGAATTTTAATTTAAGTTAAACATTCTACTAAACAAGAGTAGGCATACCTATAAAATGTCATTATTATGTAAGTAGTGAGTAGCTTGGATGACAGGATAGCGACTGTTTTTTGAAAACATGATTGAAAATATAGGATAGATTCAAATCTTTAAGAAATAACTCTAAAGTGCAGAAAAAATAGTCTCTTTTTTATTTCACTTTTTTCCCTTTGTAATTATTTATTTTTCCCTCAGGTAAAGTCCTGATGGTCAACACTGGTGCTAAAGAACAGCTGTTCTTTGAGGCTCCACGAGGCAAGCGCATAACTCTTCGCAATGCCGAAATTGAAAAATTTGGCTGGGCAAGCTGGACTTGTGTTTTGGGAGCCACTTGTGAAGGGATCTGGCCACCCAAGTGTGATGTTACAGATGTAAATGCTGCCTCCTTGGCTGATGGTCATGTTCTGGCTACTGCTGATGATTTTGGATTTGTCAAGTTATTTGAATATCCCGTCACTGTGAGTATTGACTTTTGCTTGTAAAGACTATCATTAGTCTTTTAAGTTTGGTTTGTACTGTACTTATTGAGTTATTGGTTTTTAGGGTAAATGCTTTTCTTGTCTTACTCTTTCTATGAATATTTAAAGACTTCCAAGTGAAAGCTGTGGTTCTTGGTTTGAAGATGGAAAAACAGTTTTAAATTCTCATAATTTAGGTTCATACGCTTAGTCTTGTTTTCATTTTTCTTCTAATTTTAGAATCATTGGTTTAGTTATCATTGCCTGAAAGGAGCATACACTTTGGACCCGGTTTTGGTTTCCAAGGCTGTTGAAAATCATAAAATCTGAAGATGGATTGATCATTTGTCTTTGACTTATTTCTCATCAGTGAGGATGCCATGTGCAGACACACTGACATGCTCATACTATCATTGATACTTATATTAAAAAATAAATAAACGTCACTTCATAGAATACACATGTTATGCTTAAACTCCTCCGGGCCATAGCTTGGATACACATTCTACAGGTACACATTTGCGCACACCTTAATGTCTCTAAACCATGAAAAAAATCGGCTGTTCATACTCCACATGCAACATTTTATCCCTTTTTGGTAGAATTAAAGTATAGTCCCCCCCCCCCTCCCCCGTTTTAGATTGCCTGACCTAATGCACAGCATCTAGGGTCTCTGTAGGGGTGTCACAGTTACGTAGAAGTTGTGTCTTACAGGAACAGAAAAATAGGACTGCGAGCTGTGATCATTATCTTCTGCATGAACAGATGGGGGGGTTATACATTAGTTTTATCTATTTTTTTACTTAGGGTAAATTTGCCAAGTTCAAGCGTTACTCTGGTCACAGTGCACATGTCACAAACGTGAGATGGTCACATGACAAAAGTAAACTCTTCTCTACTGGTGGAGCTGACACAGCTGTCATGGTATGGAAGCGCGAAGGTCAAGGAAACAAAAGTCAAGGTCAAGGGGAAAGTGACGATTCTGACACTGATGATGAGGAAGAAGGTAATCCCGACTATTTGTGAACTTTGACTCATATTTATTCTGTCATGCAACTGTTAGTGTTTTCTCTTTTTTTTTGTGAGCTTTTTGGTTTTTGCCAAATGTTTAATAGGACTTGCCACAAATACCAAATTTTCACCTACTCAACGTGGTCTTTCACTCTCATATGCATGATTTTTGTGATATTTTTTATGATTAATCTGAGCAAAAAATTAAATGCTCTTGAAAAATAATTATTTGTATTACATTATTATTGTATTATATTTATACTTGGATAAAAATGTTAATTCTCCATGCAGTTTCAGAAATTCATCTTATCCCTCTGCATTGTACATAGTGTTGGGTTTCTGCCTTTTTGTCTCCTGAAAGAGCATAGACAATCACAATTCCTCGGGAAAAAAATGTATTTTTCGTGCACCTTTTTATGTAAAATGATGATGCATAACACAGACACTTGTCTAAAAGATCAGTCAAGAAACCTCAAGACAAAAAATGAAGCTGCAAGAATCGAATCAGTAGGTAGTTTACCTCAAATATATATTGAAAGTAAGAATCAATATAATGGTCTGTGGTTTTTCATTTTTGGCTAATCTAGGTTGGGTTTGTCTTTCAGGTGATATGTTTATTATTTATCATTTTTTATTGATCTTCAGTGCTTTTGTTTGATTTTTATGTTAATTTTGGAGTTGCTTGTCTCTACTGGAAAGTGGTTTGAGTAAATGAGTCATCAGCTCTAGGTATCTTGATAATCAAAACTTTGTAACCCAAGTTATCTGGATTTTAGAAATTGCAAATCTTGCCCAAAGTTCAAAGAAATTAAAATTTTTATCTTTGAATAGGCTACAGTGGAGGCCGTCATGGAAAAGATTGTTATAGCCTTACAGTAAACAAACAATTCTGTATTCATTTTTAGAAAGGTAATTCATGGAATCATTGACTCATCAATTTTAATCTTTTTATAAAATCATAATCTGAAGATTTTGTTGTTGAAATCTCTAGGTTATGATAGCGATGTGGAGAGAGAGAAGAAAATGGATTATACCACAAAGATCTACATCAATCCAATGAGAGAGAAAGATGGAATCAAGCCACACTTACAAGAACAAAAAGAGACAGCAAAGTGAGACTCTCTGTTTGTGAAAGAGTACATTATTGCCACCTGTAGAATTGATATACATAACTATTTTATGTTTCTATGTTTTCATTGAAAAATCACAGATTGAATGATTAGCTGACAAAACTGTTGAGACCCTTAGTCACAAATGAATTGTATTAACAATTAAGCTTCCTTTCAATAAAAATATCATGAGTTTGGCAATGTTTGTCCTATCCTTATTCCTGCCCCCTCCCCTCTTTCTCCCCCC